TGCACAGACTGCTTTGAAGATGGGAAAACAGATTTAATTAAATCTGCCCTCCTGACAACCATCACTGCTCTCACGCGATCCGGTCAGGGAAGAAGGTATAAGAGGAAGTGTGACAGGCAACTTAATCTTCGGGAGTCCTGTGTGGATCAGCCGCGCGCTGGTGCCATACGCCATTTTGATGTGATTCTTCTTTACCTGGGTCGAAAACGACTTCCCGGCCAGTGTCACGGTGAGAAGTTATTTCATATCATTTTGTGTGTTAAGAGTGTACAAGTGTACATGCTTTTTGCTTGGCTGTTTTCTGTGGCAGGTTAATAAAGGACACTTATTACTCCTAGCAGTAACAGCCTCTGGTGTTTTTATTTTTTCCATCTGGTCTGAATATCTGTGCCGACCGTTCACGAGCCCTTTTGATAAAGAATTTCATAATACATTTTTGGCGACGAGGATGGGATGTTAAGAATTTAAATAAATAATTCTGAACGGCTGCACCATATTCAAACGAAGGAAAAAAAAAAAGTGTTGAGAGAAATGTTGATGCGAGTTGCATAGTTGTGCCGGGTTGGAAGAGTTATCCAACCCTGGCTTTGTGTTTAAGAGGTGGAGGGGACGCCCGAGCCTTTGTGTGAGAGTTTTAAAACAGAGGAAAAAAAAAAAGTTTATTCAGACGCCTGAGGAGGCGTGAGCTGAACAGAGAAAAAGTTGTACCGGGATGGGAAGAAGTCCCATCCCAGTTGTTTTTGTTGTTTTTGAAGAAGAGGTGTGAAGAAGCCCATCTTAGTTGTTGGAACAATTTTTCTGCAAGCAGATAGTCCGAGTGATGTTTTGACCACTTTTGCAGGCAATAGAGGTCAGAAAAAAAATGGCACCAGTGACAGGACTTCAGCATAAAATCAGAACATGCAATCACAGGCTCAATGGAGTAAACAAGAATGTGAGGACCGCCTGCTTGTTGAATGGACGGCTCGGTGCTCAGTTTGTGAGAATGAGCAGTGTAGCTGACGGGGCGGTGGAGCAGGTGTCCCGGTTGCGAGGAAAATTTAAGAGAAAGAAAGAGAAATGTGTTGAGGAAGTTCAGGAGAAAGAGAAACAGTTTTTACAACGAAAACAGTTGTTATCTGATGCGCAGACAGAGTGCAAGCTAGACCGCTTGATTAATGTAGCTGAGGGCGCGGTCGGTCAGATATGCAGGCTTAAAAGGAGGAAGAAAGAGCGTGATGTTTCGCCGGAGCGAGTCGGAGCTTATGTTGCAAGGTTGGCTGACGGATGGAATCCGTCGAGTTTGGACGGTTACATCTCAAGAGACAAAGAAGTTGTTTACTTGTCTAAAATATCACAACCCACAGATGCTCAAGTGTCGAGGCTGTTAGATAAAGGTGGAGGTCAGGTAATGAATTCAG